GAGTCCACTGCTGCGTCTGCCCTAGTTGCTGAGCTCGTCGACTTTGTTGCTCGATGTCGTCTAGACTACCCTGCTAGTCTTGTCGCTGAGTCTGAGTCTGTCTGTCCTCCGTCCGTCGGGGGTGAGTGTGCCCTTGGCACGGACGTCCTTGAGGACAGGCAGGAGGAGTTTCAGTGCTTGGCCGCTGCTTTACCTCATCTCGTGTTTGTACTGCTTACCCCTGAGGGAGACCCGGATGCGCTTGACATCCCGACTCCGCGCTCTTACGCGGAGGCGATAGAGGGTCCCTACTCCTCTCAGTGGCAGGCAGCTATGGATGCAGAGATGGCTTCCTGAAAGTCCACAGGCACCTACGTTGACGAGGTTCCCCCGCCTGGGGCGAACATCGTCAGTGGCATGTGGATTTTCAGGGTGAAGCGGCCGCCGGGTTCTCCGCCTGTCTTCAAGGCGCGGTACGTGGCTCGTGGCTTCAGTCAGCGGCAGGGAGTTGACTACTTTCAAACCTTCTTTCCCACCCTGAAGATGACTACTCTTTGGGTGCTGCTACACATAGCCGCTCAGCGCGACTACGAGCTTCACTCTCTTGACTTCAGCACTGCTTTCTTGCAGGGCAGCCTGCACGAGGAGATCTTGCTGCGCCGCCCACCTGGCTTCACTGGGACTTTTCCTCCTGGCACCCAGTGGAGCCTCAGGTGGCCAGTCTACGGTCTCCGTTAGGCGCCACGTGAGTGGCACGACACACTGAGGACTACACTTGCGGCTCTTGGGTTTGCTCCCTCTACTGCCGACCCGTCGCTGTTTCTGCGCACCGACACTTCGCTGCCGCCGTTCTACATCCTCGTGTACGTCGACGACTTGGTCTTTGCCACAGCTTACACTGCTGGACTCGCCCACGTGAAGTCCGAGCTGCAGAAGAGACACGCGTGCACAGACCTGGGTGAACTGCGCAGCTACCTTGGCTTGCAGATCACCCGGGACAGAGCACAGCGCACCATTACCCTGACTCAGTCACACATGGTGCAGCAGGTCCTTCAGCGCTTCGGCTTCACGTACTCCTCGCCTCAGGCCACTCCTCTGTCTACTCGCCACTCGCTCTCAGCTCTGCCTTTGGATGAGTCCGTAGAGTCGAGTGGCCCGTACCCAGAGCTTGTTGGCTGCGTCATGTACCTTATGACCTGCACTCGACCAGACCTTGCATACCCTCTTAGCATTCTTGCGCGCTATGTTGCTCCTGGGAGACACAGACCGGAGCACATGGCTGCAGCGAAGAGGGTGTTGCGCTACTTGTGCAGTACGTCGGGCATGGGGCTTGTGCTTGGAGGGCGGAGTCCAGTGGTCCTCACTGGGCACGCAGACGCTTCTTGGGTAGACGACCAGGCTACACAGCGGTCGTCATAGGGTTACACCTTCAGTCTTGGTTCCGGCTCTGTTTCGTCTTCTGTTCTCGGCTCCAGTTGTGAGGCTGAGATCTACGCCGGGGCCATGGCTCCACAGGAGCTTCGCTGGATCACCTACCTGTTGACTGACCTTGGCGAGGTGCCTCGTTCTCCTCCAGTGCTGTTCGTAGACAACAAGGCCATGCTGGCCTTGTGTCGAGAGCAGAGACTGGAGCACAGAACGAAGCACATTGCTCTTCGCTAATTCCTTGCTCGTGAGCTACAGCAGCGTGGTCAGCTGCGTCTTGCGTACGTGGCCTCTGAGGCCAACACTGCTGATATCTTCACCAAGGCACTTGCGCCTTGTGATCATCAGCGCTTCTGTACTTTGCTTGGTCTTGTGCCTGTCTTGCCTCACTTGCTCACCTCTTGACCTTGCTTGTACTGTTACATATATATATGTACACCTGCTCTTGCTTGTCTAGCCTTCTATATATATACATATATATGTGTACTCCTGCATGTGAACTGGCCTTGTGGCCTTGAACTTGTGCTCGGAATGTGTGGTGACTTTGTGATCCACCCTGAGCTTGTTTTGCTTCGCTTGATTGGTCTTGTGACCCCTTGTTCTCCCCCAATTTGCCTATGGGGGTGTGTCAAATTATAATGTTGTGTAGGCTGTAGTGGGGTAGCATATATGGGGTACACAATTCTAGGGTTGCATACTTGTATCACTTTCATTCCTTAGTCATTCATTCTCGTTTCAGTTTTCTCACACACAGCGGCATTCCTGCTCCCCTTACGCCCATTAGACTGTTGCCAGCATCCAGAAGTCCGTCACACCATAGATCGCATCATCGCGACTTACCGCTCATCATTTCGACTCGCATCAATCTTAGATCCAACATTTGCATGTTGGTTGTTCTACATTCGCCATGATTCAATCCCATCCCTTACGTGGTCCGCTAGGTCTGATCCCATGGACTCCCTTCCCGGCGACCTCCTTTACGCCATTCTGCGTCGTGCGGAGCCAACAGGGCCTCATGTATTACTAGCGCAGATGTCGTGCCTTTCGAAAGCGCTTAATCGCATGGCAAAGGAGTCCCTGTGGCAGCTGCACTGCCGGGAAAAGCTCTCTAGGCTCTTTGAGCACAAACTCCAGTTGCAGAATTCGGACGGCAACGAGGCGTATGAAGCATCCACGCGCAGATATTTTCGGCTCATGCTGGAACGGATGGAAGGGGTGGATTTTCAAGCCCTCGCACGACTTATCCACTGGTGCCCTGGCGTGATAAGGGGGTGGCGAAATACAGAAAATGGGAAGGAGCGCGACAGTGATAAGCCACCCATGCGCTTGCATGGGCCTGGCTTGGGTCTCATATCTTTTGACAGCATTTCCCTGACCATTTGGTGCTTCTGTCATCGAGATGCTCTGGACCAAACCGATACGTTGCATCTGATACAAGGACTTCATGTTGGCTCCAAACTTGACTTATAAGGCCACCTCTTCTACTCGCGCTTCATGTTTATGCTCTTTCTTCCAAGTTCTCTGCCGCGTAATCCTCAGCTTTCTCTAGAATTGTCTTGTTCATTGAATGAAACTAATATCTTTTTTCTTGCCATCAGGTGGTATTATACACAATCCGGTCGCTTCTTTGTGCAAGACAAGTCCGGCCCTTTCTGCGCCTCTAAGGTGTGTCTGGTTCATTATTATGTTCAACGCAATAGACAAGTCACAGCAGACTTTTGATAGGAAGAGAAGAACTAGAATCTTCTTTAACTGTGTTTTTTGCTTTCCCCTTTTGAACAAGTAGAGACACTACTTGAATTGTTTGGCAGGTCTGGGACACCAGTGAAGAAAGGTTTTGCATTTTGATTGTGAACAGTGAATCCAACACCAAAAGCACCATGCAAGCCCCCATCGCCGTTCAATATACATGTGTTGAGGTGCGTCTTGCGAGAAACCCCTGTAACATCGCTTTTCTCTCTATTGGTTGCATACTTTATGAAGGTGGAACACTCTAGACTAGAGTAAGTAAGGATATTATACATGACACCAGAGATCAACCCCTTATCAAGTGTGAACCACGTCTTGTGTGCCTGGCGATAAATCCTCTTGCAGGGACACTTTTACTCAGTTGAAAGCAAGTATTACGTCAATAGAGCGAGAGAAGTTGCAATAAGTTCAGTGGTGGCAGAGGAGAGAAGGGTCGTTGACGATGGGAGGGAGGAGGGGACACTGCAAAAGTGTGGAGAACGGGAATCACGACGAGGGAGTTGGCATCGGTTACTATGCCAGCCATGTGAGTCCAACTTCCAACTTTCTGCTCGTGCTGCTTCCATGAAGCGATATGGTTGCCATAATTCTCATAGGTGCCTTCAGTGAGAAATTTTCTGAAACTCTTCTTTCCAGTCCACTGCTGGAGCTGCTGGTAGGTATACCCTTTACTCAAGATTCGCATGCTCAGATGCGTTCAGTTGTAGATACGTGGTGCTGTGATCTCGCATTTGCCCTTGTGAGCAATGCAAGTCATGCATGTCACTCTCGCTGACAGATCAGAACTCATCCGGCTATGTTGATCTCACTTTCTCTTCCCTTGCGTTCTCTCCTCCCCTCCCCATTCTTCCTTCCCTGGGGGTCAGTCTACAACTGCAAGGTCAGCCACGGGGGTGCCTTCAGCGGCATGCAGTCATGCGCCCACTACTGCTGCTCCTGTTGCTACAGCCTGTCGTGCCACAGCTAGTACAGCCAGTCATGCCACAGCTGCTACGGCTGTTCGGGCTACATCTATTGCGGGTCCTCATGTGTCGTCCTCTCGTGCCCATCACGCCACTGCACCAACTGCCCGGCATGCTGCCGCCTCTTCAGTTAACCTACCTACATCCCCAATGGATGGGGAGGAGGGGAGGTTGGCAGGGTCAGGAGATGGGGGAGGATGGCAGAGGGGTTGGAGGGAAGCTTGGCAGGGATGGGGGATGGCATGCAAGCAGAGGGGAAAGAGGGGGTTGGGATGGACGGGGGGGGTTGGCAGCGAGGGGGTAAGAAGGTATGTAGAGATTGGGGTGGGGAGGGGGGAGGGAAGGAGTGGGGGGGGGGGGGGGGGGGGAGGGTGGACTTTTGCAGTGACTGTCGGCTTGTCATCCCACGGCAGTCACAATGTTGAATTTCCAGTTCCTTAGAAGAATTAAATGAGCTTGCCAAGTGCATTTTCTTGTGGTGGTTTTATTTTTTTTTTACCCCACTTCTTTTCCCAAAGTTTTCCCACATTCCGTACCAAGTCACTGTGTCTTATGTTCTCATGCTCGTTTTCACGCTTGTGGGCTTGCTCCTATGTTCCAACCCGTGCTACAGCCCATGTTTCTCGCCTTTCCTCTAAACGTGTTGCATCTGCCGCTGCCCCTCGCGCTACAGCCGTAAATACTCCTCGCACCACCATTCGAGCTGCTTCCCGTGCTGCCCCCTGCGCCTTACACCGGTCCGCTTTGGTGCCTCGCACTACTGGCATCACTGCCAACTGCATCACGAGGAGCACGGCCACCCACACCACAGGCACCACTACCACCCACACCACCAGCACCACAGGCGTCCGCACTAACAGAACCACTGCCACTCGCACTAACAGCTCAACTGGAGCCTGCACCAATGCCGCCCGCATTACCGGCACCACTGCCGCCCACATTACCGGCACCACTGCCGCCCGCATTACTGGCACAACTGCTGCCCGCATTGCTGGCACAACTGCCGCCCGCACCACCCATTCCATTCCCCCCCGCACTAGCAGCACCACTACCACCCGCACCAATTGCTCCTCTGCTCCCCGCGCCACTGGCACTTCTGCCGCCCGCACCAACAGCACTGCCAACCGCGTCGCCGTCACCATTGCCACCCACACCACCAGCAGCACTGCAGCCCACACCAACAGCAGCACTGCTAGTGGCACCACAGGCGCAGTGACTTGTTACGGAATGACAGCTGCCTCTGGTGCCACACGGTCCGGCTGGAGCTATGTTGGAAAAGTCGCGCCCAGCGCATTATACGCAAGCGTATATACGCTTGCGTACAGTGCGTTATGCGCTTCGTGAGTGACTTTGAAAGTCGCAGAAAGTACGCTGCCTGGGCAGCAAAAGGTTTTTACCGGGCAGACGAAAAAAACTGCCGAAGGAGGGGGAGGGGAGTGGTGGTTTTACCGAATTTCATATATTGGAAAAACCTTACATTCTCAACTACTCTAAGCAAGCAACATGCATCTCTCCTACCCCACCCCCTACTCCCACCCTCTACTCCCCCCGTCCCTTCCTTCCTCCTCTACTTGTACTCATCCTCCAGCTCATCCTCCTCCCCCTCCTCCTCATCCTCCTCCAGAACCTCGTTGTACCCTTCCGCCAGGGAGGCCTCAGGGATGTTCCCCGGGAGAACCGTCACCCCCTCAGCCCCCTTGTGCTAGTTGCGCACAATGTTCCAATTGTGCGCAACATACACGAGGTCCCGACACTTCTCGGACCCCAACCTGTTGCGCTTGGCAGTGTGGATCGATTCCCACACTGCCCAATTCCTCTCACACGCCGATGCGGAGACTGGCTGAGAGAGAACGCGGCAAGCGAGCGTTGTTAGCTCGGGGTGCTCCGTCCCGTGCCACGTCCACCACTGGACGACCGTCTTCTTACCGGCCTTCACGAGCTCACGGCCAGAGATGGCGTCGGGTAGGCCGAAGCTCCCCTGAAGGGTGTTGAATGCCGTCAGGCCTACCTGGATGACGTGGGATGCGCGCAACTCCTCGCCCTCCTTGCGCGTGACGGTTCGCCCTGCGTAGTGACGAGCGACAAACGCTTTGAAGACGCGAGTACACTCCAGGTCGGTGCGGAAGATGCCTTCCTCTTGGTTGACCGGGTTGAGGATCCGGCCAACCACGTGCATGGCACACGCCATGCTATGGTCCCAGCGCTTTTGGACGATGTTGGTCACCTCTGTGCGTTCGCTGCTGGACAGCAGCAATCCCGCCTCCTCCTCCTCCTCCAGCTTCGCATTGATGTCTTCCGTGAGCTGCAACATCAGATCGTACATCCTGCCCATCATGCCCTTGGCCGTCGAGTCAATCTTGCGCATGACGGCAAAGGGGATCTTCGGGAGGGCGACGAAGAACTCCGCACCTTTCCACCACACGGCATCCATGATCATGGTTGCGAAGGGCTCGACCGGCGGCTTCCTCCCCTTCGCCCAAGCCTGCCACTCCGGGCTCAGCACCATCTGCATCAATGCACTCCGCACCTCGCAAAGCCGCTGCACCGCGATGAATTGCGTGCCAAATCTGGTGCCCGCCAGCTTCAGCACCTGCTTCCCCTTCCCTCCCTTCACCTGCGGGCTTCGCATGTAACCTTATGGTGGGCACGCACAAAGGTAATAATCACCCCCACCTTAGCCACAATGTCCTTCGCCCAATCCATTTTCCCAATGTCCTCCATGAGCAGATCCATGACGTGAGTAGCGCACTGTCAGAACATTATAGCTTATGCTTTTGTGTAGGCTGTAGTGGGGTATCCCATAGGGGGTACAACCCAATTAGGGTTAGTACTTGTACCCACTTCATTCATAGTTCATTCATTCTCGTTTCTTCTCATGGTTTCAAAGCAGGTTCCCTAGTGGGAACGCTACCTAGGGCCCACCACGATTTATTTTTCCTGCCCGTAGCGCGCCTTAGACAAGACCGAGTCGCGCGCACCCCGTGTGCCCTCCCTACCGTCGCGCCGCCCTTTGTGGCCCCTTGCGGTGCCCGTCGACCCCACGCGCCGCCCTAGCGGCCCCTCCTTGCGACACCCGTCGACCCCGCGCGCCGCCTTAGCGGCTCCCTGCGCCGCCCGTCGACCCCGCGCGCCGCCCTAGCGGCCCCCTGCGCCACCCGTCGACCCCGCGCGCCGCCCTAGCGGCCCCCTGCGCCGCCCGTCGACCCCGCGCGCCGCCCTAGTGGCGCCTTACACCACCCGTCGACCCCCCGCGCCGCCCTTGCGGCCTCGCCGCCCTTACCTGCGGCCCCGCCGCCCTCACCTGCGGTCCCCGCCGCCCTTACCTGCGGTCCCCGCCGCCCTCGACTGCGGCCTCGCCGCCCATACCTGCGGCCCAGCCGCCTTCCCTGCGGCCCCGTCACCTCCTGCAGCGCCACCCGCCACCTGAGCCGCCCGGGCCGCCTCACCTCGCCGAGCAGCCGACCGCCGCGCCGCCCTGCAACAGCACGGGCGAGCCGCCCAGTAGCTGAGCAGCCGAGCAGCCGAGCTGCCCAGCAGCCGAGCAGCCGAGCCGTCCTGCAGCCGAGCCGCCCAGCAATCGAGCAGCCGAGCCGCCTGCAGCCGAGCCGCCCGGCAGCCGAGCCGCCCTGCAGCCGAGCCGCCCAGCAGCTGAGCCGCCCTGCAGCCGAGCCGCCCAGCAGCCGAGCCGCCGAGCAGCCGAGCCGCCGAGCCGCCCTACCTCCGAGCAGCCCCGTCCAGTGAGCACAGTGCCTCTTTTACTGCACTGCCCTCACCCTACTGTTGCACTACTAGTCTACTGTGGTCATGGCTACCCCTAGTGTCCTCGCTTTTGACGCTGAGGGTCGAGCCATTGACTTTGACGTCTGGGTAGATGACCTGCAGCTGTTTTTACAGTGCGATAGGGCAGACGGTCTATCACTCTTTGACCTCACCTCTGGCGCCTCTCCTGCCCCTGCTGCTTATGCCGACGCCACTGTTCGCTCCCATTGGGCCACGCGCGACGCTGCTGCACATCTTGCTGTGCGTCGCCATCTCCCTACCTCCGAGCATGCGCACTTAAGTCAGTACAAGAGTGCTCAGACCTTGTACGACGCTGTAGTCGCGCGCTACTCCTCCCCAGCCACTGCTGCACTGAGCCGTCTCATGCTACCGTACCTCTTCCCTGACCTTGCTGCCTTTCCCACAGTAGCTGACCTCATTACGCACCTCCGCACTAGTGACAATCGCTACGTGCTGCACTTCCTGCTGACTTCTGCGCAAAGAACCCTCCCCCCATGTACATCACTCTCTACTACATAGTCACACGCCTCCCTGACTCCCTTCGTGTAGTCACGGACCACTTCCTCTCAGTCTGTCCCACCACTCTCACTGTTGACCTCCTCGAGAAGGCCCTCCTAGCGATAGAGAAGAGCATAGTCGCTGTAGGAGCCTCTCGTGGTGACCCGCGCACCCCCATCTTTGAGGGGTGTTCCCCCTCCCCCCTTCTGCCCTCTGTTGCCTCTGCTGCTGCGGCCGACCTCCTTGGTCTTGAGTCGGTCGGTGTGGCGTCTGCCCCTAGCGGGACACGCCGCTCTGGCAAGGGCAAGGGGGGCAGGGGCACTGGAGGAGCAAGCGGGGGCGGTGGAGGTGGAGGTGGAGGCGGCGGGGGGAGTGGGGGTGGCGGTGGGAGTGGAGGTGGGGGTGGAGATGTCGGTGGCGGCAGTGGAGGCAGAGGCGGCGGCGGCGGTGGCGGTGGGAGCGGAGGTGGCGGAGGTGGCGGCGGTGGAGGAGGCGGCGGAGGCGGTGGTAGTAGCGGAGGCGGCGGAGGCGGGGGGGGTGGCGTTGGAGCTGGCCGCGGGTCTACGCAGAGGAGTGGCCCCGGTGGTGGTCCGCGCTAGCAGCAGCAGCGCGGTCGTGAGACCCTGTCCCCTCAGCAGCTCTGTGAGTGGTACACTGCACGCCAGCGGGGTGGGGGTTCTGGTCCGTGCACCTACGTCCTGCGCACCGGCGACCGTGCGGGTGAGCAGTGTGGGGGTGCGCACCCCACCCAGCACTGCTTTGGCCGCCTGACGGACGCGTGGCGTCACCAGTTCCTGGAGGCCACAGAGATCCCTCGCTGGGGCGAGCTGTCTAGGGCGGGTGTTGCCATCTATGATCTTGATTTTGATGCTATTCTTTCTGCCATGTATGCTGTGTCTATTAGTGATGAGGGTGACTGTTACTGGTGTTTCCCGCCCGATCCGGGCTTTGAGACTGCTGCTCTAGGTACTGGGGAGGCGGCTGCCCTAGGTGCTTGCGACGCTGCTGCTCTAGGTGCTAGTGCGTCTGCGTCCTCAGGTACTGGTGAGTCTGCGCTCTCAGGTACTACGTCGCCTTCAGCCTCCCTCACCTTCACCCTTGACTCTGGGGCTTCTCGCTCCTTTTTTCGGGACCGCACCACACTCACGCCGCTTAGTCGGCCGGTTGCGGTGTCTCTGGCTGACCCCTCTGGGGGTCCTGTCCTGTCTCACTTCTCCACAGTCCTCCCGTGTCCGGCGGCTCCCTCTGGCACCCTGTCTGGTCTCTACCTCCTCTCGTTCTCTATGAACCTGGTGAGTGGTCCTGACCTACAGGATGGGGGAGTACACCAGTTCACTCCTGCGCGTCAGCGAGTGACGCACTGCACAGAGGCTAGCACAGGCCGACACCTGGCTACGTTCACCCGTCAGCCGGGGTCGAGCCTGTACACACTGACCACTGCGTCTCCTCCAGTTGCTGAGTCTGGTAGGGTAGCTACGTCGGGTCAGGTGTTTGCTGCAGCGTCCAGGTCTGGTCCTGAGTCTGCCCCCTGTTCGTGTCGTCTCCTGTCTCACGAGACTCTCCTCTGGCACCACCGCCTTGGTCACCCCTCTCTGCTTCGGCTCAGAGGCATGGCCTCCCGTCTTCTTGTTTCTGGTCTCCCCCGGTCCCTCCCTCCCCTTCCTCAGGGCCCTTGCCCTACCTGTGTCCCCTGTGTCGAGGGGCGTCAGCGTGCTGCCCCTCACTCCTCCCAGTTTCCTCCGACAGAGGCCCCGTTGCAGATGCTTCACATGGACGTGTGGGGCCCAGACCGCGTCCGTGGACAGGGTCACGAGCGCTACTTCCTGCTCGTTGTTGACGACAACTCGCGTTACACCGCAGTCTTCCCCTTGCGCAGCAAGGGTGATGTCACTGAGGTGCTGATCGACTGGATCCGCGCAGCTCGTCTCCAGCTCAGGCGGAGCTTTGGCTCGGACTTTCCTGTTCTGCGTGTGCACTAGGACAGAGGCGGAGAGTTTTCCTTTGGACTTCTGAGAGCCTACTATCGCGCACCAGGCATCCGTCAGACCTTCACGCTTCCGGACTCCCCGCAGCAAAATGGGATTGCTGAGCGCCGCATTGGCATGGTCATGGACGTCGCTCGTACGTCTATGATGCATGCGGCTGCTCCCCATTTTCAGTGGCCGTTTGCGGTGAGGTACGCGGCGCATCAGATCAACCTACACCCCAGGGTCTCCAGGCCGGAGACCTCCCCAGACATGCTGTGGACGGGGAAGGTTGGCGATGCGTCGGCGTTCCGGGTCTGGGGATCTCGGGCGTTTGTCCGCGACTTGTCTGCGGACAAGCTGTCCCCTCGTGCTGCTCCTTGCGTCTTCCTAGGGTTCCCCCCTGACGCGCTTGGGTTGCAGTTCTACCACCCCACCTCTCGCCGTGTTCTGTCCTCCCAGGACGTCACGTTTGACGAGTCGGTCCCCTACTACCGCATCTTCTCACGCACGGCACATGCTCAATGTGAGGATACTCAAGCATGAGTTCCCTACATGCAGCCACATAATTGCTGCCCCCATCCATGCATAACGCAACTATGTTGGCGGGCCCCACCTTCTCAATGATCGGGCGCAACACGGATGCAACCTCCCGTCTTCATCTCCAACTTACAGTCGATGCTTTCGGTGAACACTGCACCGGAATCGTTGATGAGCAGGATGTTGGCTTGGGGACGGCCACTTTTGTCCGTCATCATGTCTGAGCCTATCGTCACGCCATCCCGCTTCCAGCTCGCAGTGATGGGAGCGAGCCCCCTCTCGATCTTTTCGCGGCAGCGCGCAAGGTCGGCGCCACCAACATACCGCCGCTTCGGGGGAACGTAGCCATGGCCCGCGTCCGTGATGCAGCGCACAGCGTTGCGTCAGAGAGGGTGATCGGCGAGATGCTCTGGGAGGTGAAGTGCCGCCCACATGAGGCAGATGGCGTCGTCTGCCGATTCCTTTGCACACGACGCCCCTTCCCCGTAGAAGTCTTCGATGCACTGCTTCTTCGCTCCACCCGCACACGCTTCGATCGCCATCTCCTCCGCCTTCTTCTTCCCTTCCCTGGGGGCGTGTTTGCCTTCGTTCAATTCGCGGACGGCGCCGCGGTCAGCAGAAGGGATAGGCGCCTTGCAAAGACGGACGTCCTTCCGTTTCAGCCCTTTCCAGCGCGTGATGTGTTGCGCGCAACGGAAGGCGCCCCCTACGAACTTAAGCTTGCAGTGCCGGCATATGCGGAGAGTACGCTCAGGACCATTCGAGGTACATTCGGTAGAGGTAAGGAAATGCTTAAAAATAACATGGGTGTTCACAGAAACATCCTCGTCATCCGCCATGGTCGCGTCACTCGAAACACTAGGAGCCTCCCACTGGCACTTGCGGGAGTACCAGAAGGAGTCGACATCAAGTGCAGGTGAGCGGGAGTGTAGAGAATGA